CCTCTGTCCTCCCTCTGTCCTCCCTCTGTCCTCCCTCTGTCCTCCCTCTGTCCTCCCTCTGTCCTCCCTCTGTCCTCCCTCTGTCCTTCCTCTGTCCTCCCTCTGTCCTCCCTCTGTCCTCCCTCTGTCCTCCCTCTGTCCTTTCTCTGTCCTCCTCTGTCCTTCCTCTGTTCTTCCTTTGTCCTCCCTCTGTCCTCCCTCTGTCCTCCCTCTGTTCTCCCTCTGTCCTCCCCTCGTTGTTGCTGGCGCACGGTTGTTGCTGCACTGCTGGTGTCGGCTGTGTGGTGTTTCATTGCACCTGTGTTTGACTTCAGGTTGAACAAGGGCAGCATACTGAAGGCATCCGTAGACTACATGCGTGAGCTGAAGCAGGAGGTCAATCGGCTGAAGGAGGTCGAACAGAAGCACAAGCAGACGGAGCAGCTCAACCGCAAGATGACGCTCATGCTGCAGGTGAGCGAGGCTGCCGTCGCCGTGGCAACGGGCGCGCGCGCGAGCCGCCGCAATGCGAGATTCGACGTTCCGCCTCCGACACCGAAAAAAAAAAAAAATTTGAATTTTGTTTTAGAATAATTTCCGTAGTCGCGAACTAACGTCTCGCTTCTCTTCCCGTCGCCTAGCAACTGACGGTGCAGGCGCAGGACGCTGGAGTCAACGTCCCGCCCGTCAGCATGGACCTGCTAGTGGCGCCCCCTTTGTCGCCGGCGCAGCCGCAGATCAAGTCTGAGTCACGCGAGCAGATGGCGCCGCCGTGCGTGAACGACGTCGACATGGACGACATCTACATGCAGGACGTGATGTCGGAGGCGCCCTCTACGTTCATGGCGGCGGCGGTGGCGGTGGCGTCGCCGGCGGCCATGCTCAGCCCCGAGAGTCAGGTGATGTCGCCGCTCGACATGGAGTTTGGCATGGGCGTTCTCGACGAGTTCAACTTCCAGTTGTAACGCCAGGTGGCGCCGCCGTGCCGTGGCGCGCACCGCTAGGGAGCGCCACCTTTCTGGAACAGGGACGTCATTGCACCAGAGGGCGTTGTCGTCGGGCAGCACATGCGCCAGGATGTACGGCGTAGCACCAGAGGGCGCCGTTCTCCGGCGGTGCGGACACGTTGCCTCGTGAGACTTATCGTGGGTGCGTTGCACCGTGTTGCCGTTATAGGGAGGCACTTGTCAAGCGCGGTTTTCCCGCGGGTACCGGCGGATGTAAATAGTGTTCAACGGAGGCGGAGTCACTCGCCAGGTGGCGCCCGTGGCAATTAATCGCCACACGGAGGCCCCTCGCCGGTGGATTTGACATTGTTTTCGCGACGCGACGGTTTCGTGTGTTGTCGTGACGATGAAGCCGTGGTCAGTGCGTTGTGTCCATTACAAGGCATTGTACTCGTGTATATAGGTGGTTGTTATAACACAGCGAGATGCTGTACTCGCTCTGGACTGATTCAAGTCGATTCGTACGCTGATGTCGTAGCGTTGCTAGTCAGAGAGCAATGTGTGCGTCTGAGATGAAAGAGAGAGAGAGAGAGAGAGAGAGAGAGAGAGAGAGGAGGAGAGAGAGAGAGAGAGAGAGAGAGAGAGAGAGAGAGAGAGAGAGAGAGAGAGGAGGAGAGAGAGAGAGAGAGAGAGAGAGAGAGAGAGAGAGAGAGAGAGAGAGAGAGGGGGAGAGAGAG